AATAAACCTCATCAGCGAATACAAGGAGCCATCAAAAGTTAACTCCAAAGTGACACAAGTGCTGTAAGTTAAAGCCACTCTATAACCTCATGGGCTCGGCCTTTCGCACAGCCCCATTTGAGAATAAGCAACATTTGGAAACACAAGCCTGTGGCTCTGGCGAAAGGAGGTGACTTTCCCTGCGAGTCAGGGCAGCACAAAGGATGAGGCATGCTGAGTGTGGAAGCAATGAAACTGCAGATTTTAGACTAGATTGTTTTCCTGGCATTGCCAAACTCGTTTCAGACATGCAACTACTGCGCAGAGCTGTAATACCAAATACTCTTACTTGCAAATGAGGAGCAGCATTTTCCCCTCTGACATCTACTTTAGTTATTTAAGAAACAGAGGGGAAAAACTTACACACACTGGAGTCAGTGGGAAGTCACCACTAACTCCAGCAGGATCCCTTTCACACTGCAGTAAGCTCACTGCACTGAAACCAACTCAAAGTTATTCTTTCTTCTATAAACTAAGTAGACCAACGCGAGGAATCCAGCTCTGAGCTCTTCATGCTTTCTGCCTCTTGCATTTTGGGGGAGGGCGTTCACATATTTGAAAAGCTCCTTTGTGCCTTGAGGCTTCAAATCTTTTTCCAGTCGTGCAAGCAGACAGAAGTTTCTCATCCTTTAGACATCGCACACAGTCTAGGTGTGTCCAGACTAAAAAGTATCACTTTTTCAAGGCAAAATATAAAAATAATCATAATAAAAAAACAACCCACAGAGATTCCAGCATTAGTCTGTTCACAGCCTCAACCCCTGGGGTTCTTTAACCCCAGCATCTGTACGGAGCTTCATTCCTGGGGGCTCTGCCCCACTGCTGAAGTGCAGGCACAGAGCAGAGGGAGCGAGGTGAGGGAAAGGACAGGTGACAGAGCCCGCGTAGGACAAACAGCCAGCTGCCTGCATTTAGCTAAATTAGCCCTGCGATGCATTTAAATAGACGCTTGGGAAAAACAGCAAGAAATTGTATTTAATAACTGGGAAGCGACACTGAAGAATGCACACCAAGACCTGAAGAGTAAAGGAAACTATGTGGCAAGTCAGTCAATAGAAAAAGTAGTTACGTCTAATTTACAACGACCACGGGTACTGCCCAATCCTTACCGACGCCCCAAAGCAGTGGGGCTTTAGCTAGGAAGAATACATCTGCAGCAGCACCGCCGTTTGCAGCAACAACTTGTCAGTTACAGATGATGTATTGCTATCATTATTTATCCAGTAGCCCCCAGGAAAAAATAATCAAACAGCCACGGTGTCTCCTACATTCTCGGAGTCCTATATGCTACTGTCTGGAAACCAAGGGGTGGATTGCCAGCAAAACGCCGCGTATATAAACGTCAAAAACACACGGGCTGATTATAGCCTTTTGAGACTTAAGTACTCAGCAGGTGCTTAAGTTGCGGTAATTGACTGCTGGAGTGGTACTGTGATTGTTCTACCATTTACATGTGAACCGTTCAATAAACTTTAAGTGGTTTCGAGTAATTTGAGACAACAGCTGATCAAACAAGCTTTTAACAAGCTTCGCATTCCAGTAGCGACTGCAACCCCTCTCCGTAGCCATGCGAAACAGAAAGCCGCAGCCGCGCTCGGCAAACCCACCCCATCAACCGGACTTTTACAATAAACGCTACACAAGCTTATTTTAGCCTGGCTCTTATAACAAAACGTTCTATAGGGCTGCTTCCTATATCACCAGCGTGCCTCAGGGATCGAAGCACCCTGGCAAGCTCTCCCCTGGCCAAGAGTCACCAGACCAAAACATGCTCGTTTCCTGCAGCTGCCCCGCTCGCTCCTCCGAGTTGTTTTTTTCCCTTAAAGGACAAGGCAGCTCAAAAAGTGCTAATCAGCAGGCTCTTCCAGCACAGCTCGCTAGTTCCAGGCTCCTCTGTCTTCAAACACTGCGGTTTTCCTTTCCATAACGCATCAAGAGCTCTGGAGACAGTCTGTAGGAAAACTAGACAGGTTGAACTACTGCAAAATTTGCCTATGCTACCGACTTCATCATCCTAACTCGCTCCCTATTCAGCATTAATAGCACAACGAAATCCTTGGCAGCTTTAATTTCGATCATCTTCAGCAAGGGAAAAACACTCAGGAAAGTAACAACAGCTCCGCTTGCGCGCGAGCAACCCGAAAATAACTCGGTAACGCACTGGACCCGGCTGCACTGAGCGCCGCTGCCAGCAAGCAGGGATCGCTGCCCTTGCTTTTGGAGGCACGCACATAGCGAGCTGCCCTGGGCCCCACGTTGGCCTCCCTGCCAGCCTGGCTCTGAGACGGCACAGGGAAACCTCCCTGCCAGCCCTTCCCAGAGCCCCTTATCCCCCCCATAGCAAAACCCCACTGCCCCAGCCACGCTCGGGGTCTCCCTCACCACCGCCCCAACCCCAGCCCCGTTAGAGAAAGGAGAAAGATAGGTTTCTGCTTTAAATAAATTTTATTTATTACCAAAATTTCCAGAAGCTGCACTTGGCATTTCTCATCTTTCATAAAGGTTTTTTTTTTCCCCATGCATAACTTGAAACTTGTCAACTGCAACAGTCGAGTGGTTACTTTAAAAGAGACATTTAAACAGAGACAAACATCCAGAATACAAGTAGCTGTATCTGAATTAACAAAACTTCTCTATTACTAACCTTATAAAGCAGGACGTGCCTTCCCTTTTATCAAAACCAAGCTGATAGATCTGCCTTTATACACACCCAACAGAATAAACTCTGTTATTGGCAATGACGTTTTTCTTAAACATTAGAAAAAAAATATAAAGCAAAGAATGGAGTGACTGTCCATAAACCAGTCTCTAGTTGAGTCCTTTTAATCTACTTCTTCAATGGTTGGGCCACCAGAGCCACCTGCCCCAGCTCCTCCAGCTCCCTGGTACAGTTTTGTGACAATCGGGTTGCAGAGTTTCTCCAGCTCCTTCTGCTTGTGCTCATACTCTTCCTTCTCTGCCATCTGGTTTCGGTCAAGCCAACTGATCACCTCCCGGCACTTGTCGAGCACTTTCTGCTTGTCCTGGTCGCTGATCTTTCCCTTCAGTTTATCATCCTCCACCGTCTGCTTCATGTTGTAAGTATACGACTCAAGGGAGTTCTTGGCTCCCACCCTATCTCTGTTGGCTTCATCCTCTGCTTTGTATTTCTCTGCCTCTTGCACCATACGGTCAATATCATCTTTGCTAAGGCGACCCTTGTCATTGGTGATGGTTATCTTGTTCTCCTTCCCTGTACTCTTGTCCACAGCACTGACGTTCAGGATACCATTAGCATCTATGTCGAAAGTGACCTCAATCTGAGGGACTCCACGGGGTGCTGGGGGGATGCCCGTTAGGTCAAACTTGCCCAACAAGTTGTTGTCCTTTGTCATAGCCCTCTCACCTTCATACACCTGGACTAGGACGCTGCTCTGGTTGTCTGAGTAGGTGGTGAAGGTCTGCGTTTGTTTGGTGGGAATGGTAGTGTTACGCTTGATGAGAGCAGTCATCACTCCACCAGCTGTCTCGATGCCCAGGGACAGGGGGGTGACATCTAACAGGAGCAGATCTTGCACATTTTCAGACTTGTCTCCCATGAGGATAGCCGCTTGCACAGCAGCACCATAAGCAACAGCTTCATCTGGATTGATGCTCTTGTTGAGCTCCTTGCCATTGAAGAAGTCCTGCAGCAACTTCTGGATCTTAGGAATACGAGTGGAGCCCCCCACGAGCACAATCTCTTGGATCTGGCCTTTATCAAGCTTGGCATCACGCAGGGCCTTCTCCACTGGTTCCAGGGTACCACGGAAAAGATCAGCATTGAGCTCCTCAAAGCGGGCACGAGTGATGGAGGTGTAGAAGTCAATGCCCTCGAAGAGGGAGTCAATCTCAATGCTGGCTTGTGTGGAAGAGCTCAGAGTACGCTTCGCTCTCTCACAAGCTGTACGCAGCCGCCTCACTGCTCGCTTATTGCCAGCGATGTCACGCTTGTGCTTACGCTTGAACTCTTCTACGAAATGGTTCACCATACGGTTGTCAAAGTCCTCCCCACCCAGGTGGGTGTCCCCAGCTGTGGACTTCACCTCAAAGATGCCATCCTCAATGGTAAGGATAGACACATCAAAAGTGCCCCCTCCCAAGTCAAAGATGAGCACATTCTTCTCTCCAGCTCGGGTACCTTTCTTGTCCAAGCCGTAGGCAATAGCAGCTGCTGTGGGCTCATTGATAATACGCATCACATTGAGGCCAGTGATGGTGCCAGCATCTTTGGTGGCCTGGCGCTGGGAGTCATTGAAGTAAGCGGGCACTGTGATAACAGCATTCTGTACCTTTTTCCCCAGATAAGCCTCAGCAATCTCCTTCATCTTGGTGAGCACCATGGAGCTGATCTCCTCTGGGAAGAAGGTCTTCATCTCACCCTTGTATTCCACTTGCACTTTGGGCTTGCCGCTCTCGTTCACCACACGGAAGGGCCAGTGCTTCATGTCCGACTGCACTGTGGGGTCATCATACTTGCGGCCGATGAGACGCTTGGCATCGAAGATGGTGTTTGTGGGGTTCATCGCCACTTGGTTCTTGGCAGCATCCCCGATGAGGCGCTCTGTATCGGTGAAGGCCACATAGCTGGGTGTGGTGCGGTTCCCCTGGTCGTTGGCGATGATCTCCACTTTGCCATGCTGGAAGACACCCACGCAAGAATACGTGGTGCCCAGGTCGATGCCGATGGCCGGCCCTTTGCCAGACATGATGACGGATTCCTCTGGTCGGTCACTTGCTCGCTCACTCGCGGTCACCTCTATTCCTCCCGCTCCCGCTGCTGTCTGCGGCGCGATGTGCCGTTGTGGCGCCGCTCGCGCCCTCTTTATAGCCCGCTCAGCCTTCTTCTGGAACCTGCCAGAACGCTGAGGACCAATCCAGACGCCCGACTGCCGCAGTTGACCAATCGCCTCCGCGACTAGCCAAACAGCACCCGCCCCCTGCCTCCTGCCCAATCAGAAGCGTAGCGCCCACTCGCCAGCCCAACCCTCTCCCGTATATTGCAGCCAGATCGGACTTCTTCCTGTTTTTTCTCGATCCGTCTCGCTTTCTAGCGTGCGCCACTCCTTTCGGCCAATCACAACGCGCGCTTCTCATTCGCCCCGCCCCCGCCCAGTAACCCTGCTAGAAAGTTCTAGTGGACGTTAGACGCAATGCAAATGATTGACAAGAGCGTTATCCAATAGAGGCCGAGCGGCGCTGTGAGGGCTACGGCGGGTGGGCGTTGCCTCTCGGGGGCTCGGCTCGGGCCGCGCTCGCTGCTCGTAGTGTTTGTAATTCCTGAAAGTTCACTCAAACGTGTCACGTCCCAGCCAGCCGCCAGCTGGTGGGGAATTTACCCATATTTGGTCGCGACTCACACAACTTCTCCCCCCTCCCGTCCGCGGACCGCGCTCTGCCGCCCGCCTGCCCCTTTCCCTCAGGACGCGGGGTCGCGGGCCGACCTCCTCCCCCCCCCGCACCCCGCGGCGACCCTTGTCAGGAAGCACGAAGCTTCTGCTCCCTCCGGCAGAGAGCAGTGGGAGCGGTACTGCCGCAGCGAGCGGGGCTGAAGCGACGTTTAGCCTTATTTCGGCTTAACTTGGCGGGCTGACAGCTGCGTCCCCCACCGGCCCCTCAGCCCGTCGCCCTCGGCGCCCCCCGTATTTCCGTTCGTGGGCTCCAGGTGGGAGAGAGGAGGGCACCTCGCTTTCCCCTCTGGAAGAAGCAGAGCCGTTGGGAGCCCTGTTGGTGCCTGTGGCTGCGTGGTGACCATTCTTGAAATGTCTCCAAATTTTTGTCTGTTGTGCTAATGTAAGATGTCGTCACGCCTACATTTAGCAAAAGCGACGAGGATATTAACTCGGAGCTAGGCAAAGGGCTTTGAAGAAAAGCGTGAAAATCTGCCGTGGTTCCTCCATGTTATTCCTCCTAACTTTGAGACTAACACTTCAAAACATTCCAGTTATAGCAGACAGCAAAATAGCACTCTGAGATCCCTCTTCCCCTCGTGGATAGCCATGTTAAAAGTGCAGCTAAAAGTCTGCTAGACAGACTTTCTGTGTTATGTGAAAGGATTAAATGCACCGTTTAAGTCATCTTTGGTTAATTTTGTCCCCAGCCTTTAGCATTTTGTTGTAGCAGCCCTCGTAGAAAAGGTTACAGTTCTTACCAGGATGATTTATGCCCTTGTAGTTATTACATACTTTCAAAAACAGCCTTGCTTCAATTAGTGTGTTTTCCAAAGCTTTTTTATCTGACATGAAGTTTCCACTTCTTTTACGTAGCATGTGTGTGTGTGTTTTGGGGACAGAAGGGCTTCAATTTCTGATGCTAAATAACAAACATACTTAGATAACTATTATTCTTGCACAGGTCCCAGTCCTTTTTAGTACAGGGGTTTTGACCGTGGAGAAATCCAGAAGAAATCAATGGAAAATGGAAGCTGTCAGTCTCCAGCAGGAGCTTCTCTGTACATCCTATATGCATATTTCTTGGATGGGAAGGGTGTCGATTTCTCTTGTAGTCAAACCAGTGACTGATTCACCACTAAACTATCTCTTCCTGTAATTCCCTACTACTTCATTCAGTTGATTGTATCTTAGGGAGCAGAGAAAAGTGTCGAAGCAATACAAAGAGAGTTGGCTGATAAACTCAGCTTCAGGTGAAAAATAGATGTCATTATTGGTATCTTTCTGAGAGTTATCCTTAGGAACACTGGTGATGCATGAGAACCCTGTTTTGGTAGATGCAGTACAACTCAGACACTGTTATTTCAGAGCAAAAAGAGGATTCTTGCCTCAAAAAGGTATGTATAAAAAGAAATGGAGAGAACAAATGAACCAGGAAATAACACAAAAATATTGGTTAGCATAATTAGCAGGCTTTGTATCAAAATTAATTTGATATCTCATTTAAATGTATTTGTAATCAAACAGATTCAGAAATGAGATTTCTTGAATTTGACCAAAAGCTTTTAATCATATTTTATCAGCCCAGGCACAACAGCTCCAGACAAAACCTGTTTGGGCTGATGGTTCCCTTTGTCCAATCACTAATACATCCCAGCTGTAGTTGTGTAGATACCCAGATGTGCTGATAACCCACTAAAGTGCTGCTCATAGTGATTGAATTACTGCTTACCTTATTATCACCTATGTATTTTAAAATTTTAATTGGAGTTTCACTGTAGTAAATGTGGGGAAAATGTCTTGGAGGAGTGCATGAGCATACCATTTTAATGCTAATAGTGTAAATCATGGGCAATCATGGACAATATCAGGAAAAATCAAAAGATCTGTGGACTCAGGCTACCAAATACTTAATTTAGCCCCCTGCAGAAGTATTTCTTTTTCAGCTGAGCACACAGCTGCTGTTTTCTTCTTGTATAACAACACCTACAGGTCTAAGCTGCTTTTTAAACTTTTGTTTCCAACCAAAAATTGATGTGATTTTGTCATCATTGCTCATCTCTTACAGATGTCCTTAGAGAAAGTCCAGTCTTAACTAGAGAGAACAGCCTCTAGAACCTCATTAGACTTATTCTCTCTTCTCAGCAAAGCTATTACAAGCCTGCTTTTTGTCAGCACTTCTCTTAAGACTAGCAGCACAATTTGTGCACCAACTCATCTCTACAGTCATCTTCTCATATGGGAAGAGCCAGAGGATTTTCTTTTATGTTGCTTCATATGCAGTCATGTTACAGGTGAGCCAAACAGACTGGTTCAGAAATTAGAGAGTGAGTTTTATGCTGAGGACACCAGTCTGATTTTTCCTTTAAAGAAACTTCTGCTGGATTCCCCGTCCTGAATCTGTAAGCCATATTTCCCAGAACATCCAGACAGTACCTCTGGAAGTACACAGGCCCCTTTCTGATGCACTTATTTGTGTTTAGGATTGACCATATACCCGTCTCCTGCTTGGCAGTTATGCAATATGCTGTAGGCTATTCTCCATTGCATCACCCAGATGGAGCTGGAGATGATATTTAGACTTCTGTGAAGCAAGAGCTCAGTATCTGGAACGGAACTGAGCACTCAGCCCATATCCTTATCTTGATAACAGGAAGATTTTTTTTTTCATATATTTCATAAGGCAATATAGTATAAAAATAAGATTGAACACAAGTTACTGTTTAATCAGACATCAGCTGTTTGGTTCATAAAGATAATAAAGCATGTTGGCCTGTCATATACAGGAGTTAAGGTCTGATGATCAGAACATCTTAGATCTTAAATTCTGGAGATTATTAGCCATTTGCAAAACTATTCAGAAAATAGCATAAATCAGACTGTACTGGCATACAGACTGTACTGGCATAAGTGAATTATTTTACAATATATCACCCAGCACAGAAAAATCTAAGCAACAATTGTTCCAAGAACAAATAATACTTGATCATACTGCCCTTTCATCACTGCAACTTTTTAATCTCATTTCTATTTTTGAATCTACGAAGGTAATTGGAATGCAGACAAGAACCAGCAGTGTTTGAAATGACAACAGATTTTTCTGACAAGGTTTATCTATTGTGTTAAAAACAGTAGTCTATGTGGGGGGAACCATGTAACTTTTTGAGTTATTTTGTATTTGGATACTTTGACTTTTTGCATGTAGATGCTCTTTTATTTGAAAGACAACCACAATCCATGTTTTCTCTTAAATACATTTTTTTTTCTCATGAAAAATAAAATCTGCAAGTCGGTATAACATGTTTTCTGCAAATTATACAAATGTGGGAGCAGTCATTTGGAAATATTTAGAACAGCAGCATATAGGGCACAGTAATGCAGTACTGCCAAACCAGAAGTTCCAAAATCCCAAGTCCAAAATTAGAAATCAAGTTTAAAATTATGAGCTTAAAAAACACGTGACTTTATTCACCTTTGGGCTTTTTAATCTTTGGCACATTTTCAGATAATACTTTTAGGATTGTCTGTGTAACTTTTAGAGGTTTGCTTCCTTTTCCCCCCCCTCACCTTCCCCCCCCCAATTTAAGAAATAAAGTAGCTGATTACACCACATCACAACTATAACAGGGCTGTATCAGATTGATGAGACTCAACAAAATCAAGAAAATTTGTAACACTGATTAAACCAGCCCTTGGAGTTTCAAGGAATAATTATTTTAAAATTAAGTGGTTTTAAGGCACTCTTACATATACTTCTGAAAGTTTGCTGAGGAACGATGAAAAGCTGAGGGTGGTATCACTAATGCTAACTACATCAACTGCTGCGTTGTGCAATTTAGGCATTGTGTTCTACACTACTTTTTATAACTGCAGCCACCTTTTCTAACAGACAGTGGTACCTTACTGGCAATAATAAAGGACTTTAAAGCAGCTAGTTTGCAAGGAATCGTAGAATCAGATCAGAAAATGACCTCAACAGGTTATTTAGTCTGCCTTTTTGTGTCTGAAGTCTCTTTTCTTGCAATTTAAACCAATCATTTTTATTCCTATTGATTGTGGATATGAGAGAATGCTATTCTATTGTTTCTTTGCCCACTGCTTTTACAGATATGAAAATATTTTGTTTTCCCTTCAACATCTCTTCTGTAAGATGGCCTAAAATCATTCAATCTGCCCTCAGAGGCAGTGCTTTCTTAACATTCACATTGCTTTCTCCTGGGTTCTCTGCATGCAACTTGTATCTTCATTTTCAAGGGCCGTAATCAAAACAGGAGACATCACTCACTCATGCCTTAGCAGTTCTGCAGGAGCACATTATACTCCTGTTTTGACATCGTAATTTGCACCTTTGTTTGCAACAGCATGATCTTGCAGTGGTTTTCAGAACTTGATCCAAAATAACATATATATTCTTTTCAGCGGAAATTAAGCAGCTGTTCCTTTACTTACTAGTAATTCCAAATTGCACTTGCTCCTACTAAATAGCATCATATGTTTTCATATTGTATCTGCACCTTGCTAAGATTATTTCAAATTCTAATATCTTCTAGTATACTTAAAGACCAACTCCACTTCATCTTGTTTGAATATATAAAAAGGATACGTGTGTGGTACAGGTGCTTAGTGAATGAAAACAAAGAATTTTGGCTAGAAGAGCTGTTAAAGGCATTTATCAGACTGTAATTACTAGCAGTAACTGTAACGCTGGGAAATGATGTTAAGTCTTAAACAAGGAAAACGGTATAATGAAAGCACAGTAATTCATACTCACAGGTTGACAGAATTTGATATATCTTTCTAATACAGTTAGATGCTTAGTTGCTTAGCGTGAAGAGTTTTGAAGATAACTGAGCTACAGCAGTGCTGTGAATTTCTCTTGTGTTATGGGATTCTTACTCATCTCAGTTTTCGATACTGTCATTCTTATTAGCTGAATGGGAAAAATGCAGGAGCAGATGAAGCTGATGGCAACTGGAACTTCACCCTGTTGCTGGAACTGTTATTAACTCAGCTGTAAGATGGAATTAAATAAAAATAATAAGCAGACTCATAATAACATTTTATTAAAGATACTGTATCGAGGCATAGATTAAGCTTTAAAGATGATGAAAATTAACCTGACATGTCTCCACTAATACTCTACATAGACTACAAATAATTGCTAAGTTACAGAACAGTCAGAGCCTGTTCTAGATGTCCTCTGCTTAAAAAACAAAAAAAAAAAAGTTAAATAGCTCAAGGCCTATCTTTAGGTGATACTAGAAACATATTTCCCTTCTCTTCTCTGCTTTGCAGTAGTCCTACTGTGAGGGTGCTTCCTGCTCTCTGTGGAAAGGACATCACATTTTCTATTACATTTCCCAGCTATAACAAGCCTTCTCCCTCAGGAGTCCCCAGTGGTATCTTGCATTTTCTGGATATTCACTGTCCTCCCCATTGCTCTAGCACCACTACTGAGGCAGCAGTGTCAGTATTCCAGTCCTGTGCTGTAGACTCAAAATCCATGTATTTACTTTTGAGATGTTTTGTGTTAATATGGCTGATTCCTTAAATACCTAAAGGCTGAAAGGTTTGGGGCTCTGAAATCAAATTAAGGAACAACATTCAAAGATACCTGAACATCTTTTCTTCCATTTGTATAGCAACTTTATAAACTCAAAAAGAGGAAAGCAAGCACAGACACATGCCCTGTACAAGCTGCAATACAGACAATATTTTACATACTTCATAACAACAGTAATGATAATAATGCCAATTATAAATGAAATTGCAGACAGATTCTTACTGAGATAACAGTTATACTAAACAATAAAACATCCTCTTATAGTCATAAGTAGAATTAGTAAGATGCATAACTACAGCAGAATATAGATCAGCATGTTTAGTCTGCTTACATGAATCAATCTGCTCCAGTTGTCTGGAGAAGCAAAAGAAATTACTATTTTTTAAGCCATGTTGGCCCTATTTTTGAACATTTACTGCATCGTTTTCTTTTGTTTGCTTGTTTGCTTCCCATTAATTTAGGTGGAAAATTTTGGGTTGCTAAATTACTCAAATCTGAACATGAATGCCTGATTCTCTTCTTCAAACCACCTTTTCAAGGTACAGATCCAGAACATGGTGCACACTGTGCCCTGTGAAGATTATTGCATGTTTACTCATCTCCTTGTTGGTCACAATTTTTCACATCCACAGCACCATTTCTTTACTCTCCACATATAAGCACTGAGCTCCAGGGAAGGTCCTCTTCAGCTTGCATATGATGATCATGGCAGCAAAGGGAGTCAGGTCAGCTGGATCTTTCTCACCATCCTTTCCTTCCTCAGAGACCCTTTGTGCTCAGTTTTAAAGTTTTGTTTTTTTTTCCACTTTGTACTCCAGACTAAAACATTTTTTCCCTCTCTTCTAACACTCGTTAGCTTAGCATTGTAACTGTCTGAGAAACGCGTGAATTTTAGTTCATAAGCACATACTTTTAACTTGAAAGCTAAAAAGTCTAAACAGTTTTTAACAGAAACTCTAATAAGCCTCGTTTCATAAAAGCAGCACGGCAGCATATGAATAGCAGATCCTGCAAGCTCATTTCAGCGCAGCCCTTAATGCCTGGCATCTGCCTCTTTTGGCTGTCTGCTCCATGAAAGAGACTTCAAATTTGTTTTTGACAGGTGTAAATAATAGTCACAAGGAAGTAAATTTTGTAATACAGAGAAGAGTCCAAAACAATTAGTGAGTGTTCTAATATGACTGCTTTGGTGTCTTTTGCGACTGCTGCAGTATGTCAAAAAAGCAAAGGTGGTGCCAATTCAGATCTGGCACACGTGGTTCTGAGTTTTTATGAAATCTTTTGCCGACAGTTCTTCCTCATGTCTTCTTCAAACCTGGTTCTCTCAGTTGTTCAGAAGCTTAGAAGTCCCTATTTCACTACTGCCATGCAGAAAAGAAATGCAAGAAAAATATTAAAAGTCAGAAGCCCACACTCTAGTACTATATTTGCTAGCATGATGTGGTCCCTCCCACCTCACCGTGGTGTGGTTTTGCCCTAAATACTATCTCCAGTTATATTGAGAACACCCACCACAGAAGGGAACTCTTTAAAAGCTCTATGGTTCCTTTCCTTCAACCTCTACCCCAGCAAAATACAACCTTAAACAATGTTCTGGTCTTGTTTCAGAAACTTTTCATTTGTTTCTTCCTCCTTTACCTTTCATTTTCAAAACAGCTAAAGACTTGTTGAAGAAAACCTTCAGTTCTGTAGCCTCTGAGGTTATTTTTGCTACGGTATGTGTAACTTTCCAGCAGTGGTTTACGGCTTGGCTTAGTGGATGCTCAAAAATTACATAAGTATTATTTCCCTTCAGCCTGAACTTCTCCTAGCTTGGAACACCCACCACTCTGCAATACTTCTCACTGCTTCATATTTGCCCCTTCACTCATTTCTGTTGATTTTACTTGCCAGACTCAGAGGTGATTATTATATATTTACTTTATCTCCCCCAGAATTATTATTTTAGGTATAGTGCAGCTGAATGATATAAATGTTTGCAATTCATGTCTCTTTGGACCACGCTAACATGACAAATGTGAGCAGCTTTGTATCCGATAGGAACAGTTAAGACATTGGAAACACATGGATGCAGCTTCTAAAGACAATCCTCTGAGACTTTTTTTCATGGTACACTGGCTTCTTTCTCTGCCTATGGAAATCACATTGCACAAATATACGACTGTCCCACTTTCACATAACTGCTGGCTAATTTACACTTGATATTTCTACATGCACTGTAGCAGCATTGGACCAAGTGGTTGCATCTGTGCTGCAGAGCAGGAAAGGCTTTCTGGCTGGAAGTGAAGCCAGGTTTATCAGCCCTGTACACGTACTGGAGCATCCTGAAGGCCAGCTCAGGGCTGAATTTCCTAGCACACCTTTAGGCAAACTGCTAGCTTCTTTTAGGGCAGTCAGCTAATACACTCTTTGAATCTTGGAGGGGAATACATTGAACTGATGCTATTATCTCAAAGTAACACTTACCCGACTAGCTCTAAGGTCACAAAATGCATCTTTTTGTTTATAAATTAATAAAAGATTTCCCCCCAGGCAATATCAATGTTTAATATCAATGTTTAATTAATATAAATGTTTAATATCAGTATTTATTTAGATGCTACCCTGTATTTTACAGTCAAATATTTCTGCTGCTTGTAGAGCATACACAGCTCATGTGACATGACTGAGATTCTTCACACTGCTTCCCTCAATGCTGTGTGGTACCACCTCTGAGCATGGAAAGGTGAGATGCCCATGAATATTAAATCACATTTTTTTCTGATGGAACTGCAAAAATATGGTAAATCAGTGCCAACTGTGGCCGTGTGCTGTACGTAGAGCTGTGAATACCGAAGTGCTGTTGGCACTGGTAATAGCTTGCAGCCCACAGTGAGCTAGATTAGAGGTAAAATGTTGTGCCCTCCTTCCAGACTCTAAAAAATTCTGCCTACCCTAAAAATACAAGCAGTTTTAGGAATGCACAGAGGATCTGCTTCTATAATCTTCACACAATAAACTCAGCTGAACTGCAGAAACGATCGAGCTTAAATAGAAATGTGCGTGTTTTAAGTTAGCCGCCAGATGGAGCTCATCCCTCCCATCGCACAGATCCATGAACATCTGCAAAGCTAAAATACTTCATAGATATTACAAAGGATGCCGTTTCTTCCACTTCATAAAAGTCAGAGGAAGTCTGTGATTAGCTAGATGTTTACAAATAAAGGGGAATCTGGAGACAGATCAAAGGTAACTCTCCAGATTTGGCATGATACCAAGTTCCTGTACTACTTGCATCTGCATGGGTTTGACTGTCAGATTAAGTGGTTGAACTTGGCCTATCTCATCATGAACTAGCAGTGCTTTTTTAATGCTTAGCATATATATTAGAAATCTGAAGATTCAGCCAGCTAAGGACATGGAAGAAAAAAACTATGAAAAGAGAAGCATTCACAGCGTTCTTCCTCAACCTACTTTCGCAAATCTAGAAGGGAAGACAAGAGTTGCTGTGAAATCCAAAGTACGTAGCACTGTAAGTTTAGTAAATAGGAGCAGTAGCTCTCTAAGTCTGTTCTCTAATAATCTAAGCTGAATGGTCCATTCGTACTATATTTGCTTTTTGCTGAGTAGTTTGTAATTCATCCAGGATCTCAGGGATTTTGGCACAGCTCTAACTAGAGAGAAAAGCAGATCTGAGATAAAAGCTTGTGGTGTATGAAAGACACTGAGTTAATGTGTATGTGTTTTAAGGGACATCTTTGTTTTGACTCTGTGTAACAAACCAACATAGTTTGTGAGGTCTAGAAGGCCACAGACTATTTCTACTTTTATAGTAGTGCTCTGTTTGAAATTAGTATTTTTATTTGGGGTCTAAGCCACACTGAACTTAATCAAATAAACATTTTCCAAAGAAAACTGCCTTTGAACTATTTAACTATTCGTTTGCACAGCAAAATAAAGCAGAAAGATTAGTAATAATTACTGAGATATTTATTATGTCTTAATTGACATATTTTTCAGTTTTTAAGTTACAGTTCATCAGGAGCTCTGTCTCTGTAGCAGAATTGACAATGTCTGCAAAAACTGGCTGAATTTAAGTGAAACACAACCCTGCCTGAAAGCAGATTAGGTGGGGCTTATCCTCATGCTCCCAGGCACTCAGGCTGTGGCTGGTGCTTGTGCTTCAAAACAGCATAGATAAATGTACAAAAATGAGGTTTAATCTACCTGATAGCAATGCATATCAGAGATCTGAGCTCCCTCCTGGACTGTGGGAGGATACTAAGACAACTTCTTCATCAGTTCCCAGGGATCCTACCCTGTATTCCCTCCTACAATGCTACTGTATCTTTCCTTCTCCCAAAGGAGAGAGATTCTAGATTTCATCTCTCAGTGCTTCTACTTTGTATAAACAGAAAATCCAAAAGGATGGCTTTTAAAAATAGCAACCTTGTGACGGGGGAAAAAGGGGACAGCAATGAGGAAAGACTGATTCTAGCATTCTTCTTGTTGGCAATAGTTCTGCTGCAGAGACTTTGGCAGTGCATTGACACTGACGGCGCTGTGCCTCACAGACAGGCTAGGAAAACAAAGATTTGCACAGGCCTGGATTCCCCCAGTAGAGTTCCTGCTGTCCACACAACTTGCAGGACTTTGAGGCCTTTGAGGCCTTCTCATTCCCTGTCAGGATTCTTGGGATGTCTACAGAACCACAAGGCACACTTATCGTTGGGTGTCTCATTTCCAAAAAATATAAACCTCCCCAAAATCTCACTGATACAAATCACAGTATGAGTGAACACAATACCAGCATCAGCAGTTAGTCATTGAGAGGAAAATTCTTGAACAGCAATAAAAGGGCTAAATATTTTCTCCCACAGGAAATGCTAGAAGCAGCATTGTTTCTGTGGTTATAGCTGCAGAAAAATTTACTACAGTTTTAGCAGGCCAGAAGGCACAGGAAAAGATTAAACCTGTTTGTCTTCTCTGAATGGTGGAAGTTAAACTTGTACCCATCATGAGACAGATGCATATTTTAGAGTAAGATCATTAACATGGGGCACGCAACCACAGTGCACAACAGAGCTATCTTGTGACTTGCAAGAGAATCAAAGACATTGAACACTTCTGAAATTCAAGGTTCTGGAAATGAGGGGCAGCATGCCAGCTACACAAAAAAGAAACAAAAAAGAGCAGTCAAAACCTGGCCTCTGACTAGTTGCTCATCATAGTACATTCCTCTGCATACATTAAGAAACTTCAAATACACATACTCAACTACTTATAGGGAAAGCAACCAGAAACAGTGCCTTTAAATGAAGCATGATACTGTTTTGCAATGACTTTTTTTTTTTTTTTTTTTAAAGATATTTAGGGGCAAAAACAACCCAAAGAATGATCTGATAGCATCTCTCTTGTAAAGCTAGCAGTGGTCATTTTAGTGTACAGAAAGGAACATGGGCTCTGTTTGTCTTGAGGCTGAACATTTATAGTAATGGCAAGCTGACTCCTGAGTCATGTGCTCTGCTGCCCCGTTGTTACAAATTAGGATTTGTCTTTCTTCATGAAAAAATAAAATCACAACGAATTCCAGAATCCTAGAAGCAACTCTGTAAAATAGTGGTAGAAGGCACAATTAAGATGTCCTGGTTTTCTGGCATCTTGCCCTTCAAAACCTCAACCTACAAACATTTCTTAAGAATGCAATGCAAGAATAATTCAGGAGTTTTTTCCAAATTGGATAAAAATGCAGAAAACTGGTTTATAGCTACTGAGAACTACAAAAATGTCCACTTTTAAAAACATGTCCCTAACTTCTAGCTTTCAGGAAACTTTTATACAGTCACATCAGTCATGCTTCATCTTGTAGGTCTGTAACAAGCTTCATACCAATTAAGAATTGGGGAGGTCGGAATACTTGCTTTTTAACTCTTTCAGATTAGGAAGCATCTATGACTCAGAAGCAGGCATGTGGGGATATTAGCAGATACTGCCACTATCCCCTTCACTCTACTTTGCTCCTGAGCTTTCAGCATTAGAGCAGAACAGGGCTGTCTCCTGTTACCAGAAAATACAAGAATGCACATAGGGAGAAGGGAGAGCAACAGGGCAGTGTTAGCCGTGCCCAGCTGTGGCAGCATATCTGGAGCTGCAGGGCACAGAGAGCAGAGGGAAGTGGGAGCAGGTCCCGGCGCTCGGCTGGCCGAGGGGCCCAGCTCATTGCTGGCCTTGGGCCAACCGCACTAACCCAGCGCTGAGCGCTGCGGCGTCTATTTCAAGAAAGACGAAGAAAGCTCTAGAGCATATTTGTGGGGTGAGTTGAGCACAGGATGGTTTCCAATTCTCATAAAGAGGGCAGATAGCATAGATGTGTCTCATCTGT